CAATGGACGTGGCGAAGATCGATGTCAACGTCCAAGCTCTCGCGTCGACGCAACGTGAGCTCGTGTCGACGCAACGTGAGCTCGTGTCCGTGCAACACGAGGCACGTGCATTGCTGAAGTCGATCGTGTGTGACTTGAAGGCCCTGTCCCGGATCGTCATTTCCGGTCGCCATGAACAAGTCCCACTACCACGCACTGACGGCGCCGCAGGTATCGTCCATTACATGTCATTTTCGTGCACTCACTAATACTTAGACACCCTGGCGCAAGTTGACGCACCTACCGCTGCTGTCGAGCCTGATGCCCTTCTTCCTGCTGACGTCGTCGTCGACAACCCGACTGCTATCCGCAAGTGGACGATAAAGACGTTGGCCGGGGTGACGTTCAAGGACGCACTGTTTAAGTACGTTGTTGACGACTTGGGGAGTATTCCCAGAGATGCCAAGAACACCCAGCAGAAGGCAATGAAGGACGCGATGCATCTCGCAACCTCACACTCTACCGCTTTCAAGGAAGTCGTTGCGGCGTTTCCGACTGGCAGTGTCTCCATTCGGCAACTTATTGCAGCGTGCGGCGACGTCACCGAGTCTATGCATCGCGACATCAGCGCGTACAAGGCCATCCACCGCGAACGCGCTCAAGGAGACACACCCGGCAACAAGCGTAAACCGACAAGCAAATTCGGCGCCTCAAGCACCGTCAAGCAATACAAGAAGGCTCGGAAGTTCGACATGGACAACGCAGGATCCACCTTGTAGCGGCATCCTTCTCTTCATAGTATTACATGTAATAACAGGTTTTTCTCGCATCGACCCCATTTATGCTTGTTCACTTTCCACGACCTCGACGCATTAATTACGTTGATTCGATCCCGATTCGCTTCTTGCATCGATATCGACTTACGACTGATGCACTGGAGTCGAACTCGACATGCCAATATATGGGTGGCTCGAACGCGATGCATGATTGCTTTTCTTACGTCGATACCGACACACGTGTATTTAAGTGATGTCGTGCTCGATGCCGTGACTGGCTGTTTGGCGCGAGCCCGATACGCCTACTGCATTTTAGCCTCGATCACGACGTATCAAGGCCAGACGCGTACCAACGGCGCCACGATCTGCATCCACGTGAATCGAACCCGAGGTACGATAACTGTAGCAACATGTCGATATCGATGCATGCTAAACCTGGTTGTGTCGGTTTCGATGTAAATGCTCGTTGAAATACCCCTCTTGTTTTATTAGCGAGACACCTGACTGAGTGAGGCTGTTGCCATTCCAAACGCTGGTGAGTTTAATTAATGCCTTCGGAAGATCATTCTTTGACTGAGAGCTAGATGCAGTCTGCTTACCCTATGGCGGCTAAAGATCCTCACTGGGGAGTACGCATGTACATGCACAGCGCCTTGTTACACTGGTGTCGACCAAACTCTTTCGTTTTGCTGGTGCCTGGTGCTGGCAAGTTTTTCTTGCATCGATCCCGATGATGCTTGCATGCTTTTGTTACATCGACCTCGACGTGTAAATTTATTAGTATGACTACTGTATCGAGTTTAAAAGGTTCGGGCTGTTTCTTGGAACGGCCGACAACCGCCCGAACGGCCGTGTTCACTCCTGCTTGTTTTTGCTTATCCGGATCGTATCCGGCCGTGTCCATCACCAAGCCAGCGCCGTGTTGGACAGGACATCCCATTTCTCTCCAGCATGCCGATCGCAACGACGGGCCTCGTGGCCGTGATCGTGGTCGTCTGCGTCTTCTGGCTCTTCGTCTTCCTCGCCTTCTCGCTGAGCATCCGCGTCGTCAACCACGCCGAGGTCATGATCCTCGAGCGCTTTGGCCGGTACAAGATGACGCTTTTGCCCGGCATCCACTTTATCGTGCCCGTCATCGAGCGCGTGCGCCCGATCGCGTGGCGCCACCTGAGCCGCCGCATCATAAGCGGTGACGCGCCGTCGATCTCGATCATGAGCGAGACCGTCGACATGCGCGAGCACGTGATCGAGTTTGCGCGCCAGCACGTGATTACAAAGGACACGGTCATGATCGACATTGACGCGCTCGTGTACTTTCGCATCGTGGACCCGCGCCTCGCTGTGTACAAGGCTCAGAACATTCCGGACTCTGTCGAGCTCGTGACGCAGGCCACGCTGCGCAACATCATTGCGACCATGACGCTCGACGACACGTTCTCGTCCCGCGACGAGATCAACACGGAGCTCCTCAACCGCGTACGTTTCTATTGCAAGACGCAGCATCGTACGAACGGCGTTGTAGGTCAAGCCGGACGTGGAGCGCTGGGGCGTGACAATTACGCGCGTCGAGATCTTTGATATCGTGCCGCCCAACGACATCAAGCTCGCGATGGAGCAGCAGATCAAGGCCGAGCGCGAGCGCCGCTCCGAAGTCTTGGAGGTACATTGCTCTCAGTATCTACATGTGTGTATGCACCATTATGTCAGGCGGACGGCCAGCGCGAAAGCTGCATCGTCAACTCGCGTGGTGACGCCGCCGGGCTCGTGCTGCGCGCCGAGGGCGACCGCGCGTCAACGCTGCTCAAGGCGACAGGTCTCGCCGAAGCCAAGATGCTCTCGTCCAAGGCCGAGGCGCAGTCGATGGAAGCGATTCGAGCGGGTATACATACCCACGTGTTGAAACTAGGATCTCTTATCAAGGGTGTCACCATAGCGATCAACGAAGTCGGCGTCCGCGCTGTCGACTACCTCACGGCCATCCAGTACCTCAACATTTTACGCAAGATCAACGTCAACCAAGGCAACCTCCGCCTCGTCTTGGTGCCGATGGACACGGTCCGCGGCATCAGCGAGCTCGTCAAGATGAACGCGTAAGCAGCAAGACCCGCCGAAACCTTGCTAGTTTGCATATACATTCCATCTCGAGTTGGTGGCACACATGGAAGACACATTGTCCAAACATAAACGAGTCGTTGCGTGTACTTGATACTAGAGGAAGAGAACGACACTTGGCCGAGGGGGTGGGACGTAGCGTTATTGGTAGATGCGCAGAACGAGGTCGAGGGCGACAAGGGCCACGTGCACGCACTCGCCGTACATGCCCCATTTTGACGCTTGCGAGAGGTGCGAGCTCGTGTCGACGGCGGGAGGTACGAGCGGCCTCTTGACGTGCGGCAGACTGCGACGCGCTTGGGCGGTTTTTTGCAAGAGCCGCGCGCGGACCCAGTCTACGTCGGACGCCATCAACCACTACCGACTCGCTTGGCGTCGCCACCTTGAATGTTGCAGATGGTTTGAAACCACTCTTCAAACTCGAGCGACCGAATCGACTTGAGGATGAAGAAGCTCCGGCGCAAGCTCTCTTCTTCACGCGAGATCATGGCGCCGAGGAAGAGGACGGTGATGATGTAGCACGCGTAGCGCAGCGCGAGCCAGTGCACGAGCATCTAGTGCAGCGTTTGTGTGCTTGCCTTTTGCGATACATTAGGTTGGCTACCTGGCTCAAGACGATGGTGGCGACAAGCCCCACGACTGTCGTGACGCACACGGCATACTTGTGCCGGACGCGGAACCCAGATCGGTGGCTAAAGAGCACGGCGTTGATGAACCCCATGAGGTACACGTCGGCCAGTGCGGACGACGACGACGAGACGACGGCGCAGAGCAGCGTCGCCATACTAGTGGTATGTACCAACACGACCACTGCCGCAAAGGTCTGGCTCGCCTGCACGTCGTTGAGCTGCGTGTCGGCGAGGCGCGGCGCCTTTCCGTCGTCAACGGCGCGCCACTGCCGGACGTAGAGCTTGCCAACGACAAACATAAAGGCAGCCGACGCGAGGTACGCGAAGTCGACGACTCCGAAGCGAAGCATGTAGCCCAGCGATTGAATCGACGGCGACGCGCCCAAGAGACGGTAATCCTACTCGTGTCATGACCTTAGCGCTCGTGGTTGCGTGTACTGCACCTGGATGGCCAGGAACGTTTGGTTCATAATTGCAGTTGCGATCGAGAAGCGGACGACTTTGAACGCGCCTTCGTGGAGCACGGCAGCGTTTGGGTTCTCGAACGGGAACGGATCAATGAGGTACCAATGGCGCAAGAACGTGGCCTCGACGCGGTCGTGCTTGAACGCCAGCGAGCCTTGGTGTAAGAGCGCTTTTTTTGAAAATTTCGGTTTGTGCAGTGCGTCCGAGCAGTCGGGACTCGACCCAAACGGGAGGAGCAGAGCGTAGTTGCGCCGACGCAATAATTCCTGGCGGTAGTGCGACACCATTCCGCCCAGCACCATCATGCCGTAGTTGAGCCCTTGGTAGAAAATACTTGACGGCTTGTCGGACCCAACGTGCCAAATCGAGCGCGCAAGAAGCTGCACGCCAATGTAAGCGGCAAAGATGGACCAGCCGAGCGCGCAGCTGTAGATGAACCTAAGCGCCAAAGTTGTCGCATGTCGATTGGACGGAGAGCGAGTCGTACCGCACGCGCGTGACGCCAAAGACGGGTATGAGCAAGAGGAGGAGCGGAAGGACGGGGCCAGCTTGACCAACGATGGGCTTGAAGATGATGAGTGCGCCGGCTTCGATGGCAAACACCTAGCACCTGCTCGTGAACCAAGTCCTCGAGCCTTGCAAGATATACCGTGAGGAAGAGGGCTTCCATGTGCGGGCGCATGGTCGGAACGAACGTGGAGGCAAAACCGATCCCAAAGGGTACGAGCCCAGGGCCAAATGCAATGGCATACGCGGCAGGTGAGAAGACAATCCGGGTCGCTTCCCACGTAAAGTAGAGCGCGATCCCGATGAAGCCAAGGAGGAAGCAGATGCGCGTGCGTCGCACGGCGCCTCGCTGGATGTAATCGCGGTAGCCCGCTTCGTACTCGGGCGTGAAGCAGAGCGTCATCGCGCTCATGCCCGTGATGCCCTGGAGCTTGGCAAACTGCTGAAGGCGGTACTGATGGGCCTTCATGAGCTGAACCGTTTCTACGCACCAATCATTAGATAGATATCGTGGTGTAGTCGCTTTGCACCGGCGACGGTCGGCGCACGGCAGTCGGGCGCTTCGTTGGCGCGGAGCAAGAGCTCGTCGGCTTCGTCGACGGGCAGGAACGGCGTTCGGATAAGCGACGGCCGGCGGCCGAGGCCCATGGTGCTTCGGCGGCGGTGGGCCGCGCTCGGACCACGCTCGGGGCTGGTGCTGCGCAACGCCACGTACGGCTGCTCCTCCAGCAGCGACACGGCTTCCTCCATGGTGAAGGGGCGCGATCCAAAATGCGCATTGGTGAAAATCCTTGGCTCCACCAATGAGAATGCACCATGCATTAAATTTTACCCACTCATCGTCGTTTCCATTGTTTCATTTCTACCAATCCGCGGCTTTTGTCGACTGAATTTGAGCGAATCCGCAACGGCCAGCTTTGAATTCGATTCGGTTTGCGGTGCACGAGAACAGCATGGACGCCAAGACGCCGACGACCCGCGAGCAACGGTCCAAGTCGCCAGACCGGAAGCGCCGCCACGGACGCAGCCGAAGCCGGTCGCGCGAGCGTAGCCGTCGCGACCGGGACCGTCGCCACCGCAGCCGCAGCCGCGACAGGTCTCCTCGCCGAGCCCCCAAGCGTCCGAAACGGCGCAGCCGGTCGCGCTCGGCCGAGCCCAAGAAGGTCGCGACGAAGGAGCCGGCGCTCAAGCCGTCGCCAACCATCGGTCCAGCGCCAAAGCCGGAGGTAAAGGAGTCGACCGCCGTGCGCTCGATCGCCGACATCTTCAGCGTGTCGCACTCGCCGGTCGTGGTTGCAGCGAGTAAGCCTGTCTCCGTGACGATCCCGATAAAGCTGACTGAATTGACTCGTGGCACGAAGGAGCTTAAGCGACCTGTCGACACCGAGACGACGACCGAGTGTACTCCCAGTGTAAACGCGACTGACTCTTCCGTGACGTCAAACCTACCCTCTGCTGCCCTAGCTCCGTCGACCTCTGTCACGCCTTCGGGCATTGCCAAGGTTGACGTGGGCTCCATGAAAATGGACATCCTCAAAGCGCTTGCGGCCGCCAAGTCGTCGATCGCGGGCTTCAAAAAGCCGTCGGCCCCGATCGTCGTTGCGCCACCGGCACCCACCATCACATCGCCCGAGCCCAACATTGCCGAGCTCCCCAGCACGCAAGAAGACCAAGGTAGTACCGCCGTAGTGGCCATCAACGAGACGGTCGACAATGACGACGACGACGACGAAGATGACTCAAATGACGAGTGCTTTGATCTGTCGGATCTGCGAAAAACCGCCAAGGCCGGCAACGAGTCGGACGAGCGCTCGATGACAGAGGACACGGTCGTCGCACCGCCCGTAGAGGAAACCGTCCCCGCTCCATCGCCACCCCAAGAAGACGCGCCCGCCGACGCCGACGATGACGACTTTGACATGTTTGCTGCCGACGACGACGACTTTGGCGCGCGCGTGCCGAACGCGCCCGCCCGCCCCGCGATTCTCAAAGCCACGCGCGGCCACTGCGACGACAGCGAGGGCTACTACCGTCCGACGATTGGCGAAGTGTTGAACGGCGAGTACCGCGTTGTGGGCAACGTACGTGACGCCCATCTTGCGACGTCTCACTGACGATGGCGGCTCTAGGCGGGCAAAGGTGTCTTCTCGACGGTCCTTCTGTGCAAACGCATGACCGGCGACGAAAAGACGGTCGCGATCAAGCTCATTCGCGCCAACGACACGATGCGGGACGCAGCGCAGACCGAGATGCGGCTGCTCACCGAGCTGCAGGTCGGGCACAAGGCCAAGTACATTGTGAAGCTGCTTGCGTCGTTTGAGCACCGCAACCACACGGCCATGGTGTTTGAACCGATGCAGATGAACGTGCGCGAAGCGATGAAGAAGTTTGGCGGCCGCGACGGCCTCTCGCTGCGTGGCGTCAAGGTCTTTTGCAAGCAGCTGCTGCTCGGCTTGGACCACCTCTCCAAGCACCACGTCGTGCACGCCGGTGCGACCTCGTGGTCGATTTGAAAAGGACTCATGGCTGCTCCATAGATATCAAGCCCGACAACATGCTCCTGGACGAGAAGCAGTCGATGGTCAAGCTCTGCGACTTTGGCTCGGCCTTCAAGTCGACGGGGCCAGACGCGCACGACCCGACGCCGTACCTCGTGAGCCGCTTCTACCGCGCGCCCGAGATCATTCTGGGCCTCGCGTACGACGCCCCCGTCGATATGTGGAGCATTGGCTGCTGCATTTACGAAATGTACACGGGCCGCGTCATGTTTCCGGGCCAAACCAACAACGAGATGCTCAAGCTCTTCATGGAGGTCAAGGGCCGATTCCCCGCCAAGCTCCTGCGCCGTCACCGCGCCGTGTACCTCGAGAAATTTCTCATGGAGCCCCACTTTGACGAAGAGCTCCGCTTCATTAGCCGCGAGATCGACCGTGTCACAGGTAGATTCCTCCATGCTCGGTGAGGGTAGGTGCTCATATGCTGCGCATGTAGCCAAGCCCATGCTGCGCGTGATGAACAATATGAACGCGACCAAGGACTTGGGCACGTCGCTGGCGGCGGCCCGCGCGCCCAGCGACGACAAGAAGCAGCTGGCGGACTTGAAGGACCTCCTCGACAAGGTCTTTGTCTTGGACCCGGCCAAGCGCATCACGGTCAAGGAGGCGCTCAAGCACCCGTTCGTGCAGTCATCGTAAGCTTTCGAGTTTGGCAAAGTAACCGAGCTGAAGCGTCATGGTATAAGCGAGCATTACCCGCGGAGGTACGCGACGCACACATACATAAAGCCGAGTACGAGGACCATCCCGCCATATACGATCCACTTGTCGACCGTGTCTCTTCGCTCGATGATGCGCAGGAGCGAGCCCGAGAGGCCGAGGCGGTTGGCCACGTCGAGGACCTTGCGCTGGACGCCCTTCATGCGGTCGCGCTGGTCGCCTACACATGGTAGCATGATGTACAGGAGAGAGATGAGCTGCGCGTACTGAGGTTGCCAAGGGTCGCGTACGAGAGGTCGGTGAGGTCGTTGACCATGCGCGACGAACGGCCGAGCGAGTCGTACTCGTGCGAGAGCATCGCAATGTCGTTCTGCGCAGCATTGCCGCGGCGCGAGAGGAGCTTCTGGCGCTCCTGGAGCTCGATCTGCGATCGGCTCGACTGGATACAGCGCTGCTCGAGCGTGTTGTTGAGAAGCGCGTAGTCTTCGCGGAGCTGCTGGACCTTCTTCATCCAAATGTCTCTGCCGGCGGGGTTCTCCGAGTAGACGAGCGAGTCGAGCTGGTCGATGAGCGAGCGGAGCGCGGCCGCGGTCTCCCGGGCCTGCATCTCGGTGCTGCTGCTTGCGCCCTGGTCGAGGTACCCGAGCTGCGTCTTGAGCTCGAAGACGAGCTTCCCGGCCCGCGGGTAGAGCGCGCCGCACGTCGCTGCCATCTCGAAGCAAATATTAAAATAAAATGTTGGATGATTGTATTTTATTGCTGCGCCGGCTGGACGTACGTGGCGTTCTTGGCAGCCTTGAACTGCTTGACTTGGCGCTCGCCCTTCCGGAGGAGGTACTCGATCATGTGGAAGTTCATGCGGTCGATCGAGTGGGCCTCGGACCGGAACCGGTCGCGGACAAAGGCCACTGTGCCCTCTTCGCCAAGACGCTGCTTCTCGTACGCCACGCGGAGGTACGACCGGTACAAACTAAACACTTGCTTCTGCAGACCCGAGTGGTTCTTGCCCTTGGTATGGCGCACCATCGACGGCGGGCCCGAGTGGCCAGCCTCGTCCAGCGCGCCCATTGCCGCATGGTCATGGCCATGACCGTGGTCATGGTCGTGCGAGTGGTCGTGGTCATGATCATGGTCGTGGTCATGATCATGGTCGTGATCACCGTGGGCATGGCCGCTGTGATGGCGCAGAAGACCTAGCGGCGCTTGGACCAGAGGCTTCAGGACGCCCGATGGGAAGGCGCGCGCGACCGTGGTCCGGAGCATGGTGGTGAAGGTTGGCGAATGTTCATTCTGCAAGCAATACTCTATCATTTAATACCTTTACACAATGAATACATTCTATCTGGAGGGGAAGGTCTCTAGAAGTGAATAGTATCAACCTCGCCGAATATGTATCAAGCACAGGTGCACGCGCATGGAGGCCATTTGAGGTCGACCAGAGAAGCCTCACTCTCCTTGGCGTCCTTGGGCCATGGTCCTCGCTGCATGAGTGAACCGTCGGTGCAAAACCCCGGCGGTTGCGGATTGGCTAAAATCAAACCGGATTTCGCGCAGTACAAGATGGCCGGGTCCGCGGCCAAGGACCTGCGCTCGTACATGCGCGAGACGAGCAGCAGCAGCACGCGGGTTCGCGCCGCGCCGGCAAAGGTAGAGTTCCTCCGCAAGCAGTCGATGCGGCCGGCGCCCAAGCCCCTGCCCAAGGAAAGGCCGGCGCTTCGCCGTGCGTCCGAAGCGCCACCCCCTGTGCGATGGCGGTCGGCCAACGCGCAGAGCGTACGCTTGACACGCGCGGCGTCGTTGCCACCGAGTGGCGAGCAGCAACGGGTGGAGCCTACGACGCCGGTCAAGGTCTGCGACGATCTTTTGCAGGAGTTTGCGGCCGCCAAACAGGCCTACACGACGCTTCAGGACGAGTGGCTAGAGAAGCTCACGCTCCTTGTGACGCGGATCCACAGCGGGAACAATGCAACTTCGCCCGAGACGGACGCTGCATCTCCGACGGCGAGCAATGTTCGCGCGTACTACGAGGCCGTGATAGCCCGCCTTCAGGCTGACGTGGACTCGCTCACGGTCCAGCTCCACCAAGTGCGCGCCGACTGCGCGGCAGAGCTGGATACACAACGGCGCCAGGCCGAGGAGACCCAGCGCAGCGCTCGCCGAGAGCTCCAAGGCGAGGTTCAGAGTCTCATGCAAGAGAATCGGGCGCTCGTGCTAGAGAAAGCCTCCTGTCAGCGGGCGCTGGCCGAGGCCAAGCTGCAGCTCCAGCGCCTCGACACGATCGAAGAAGGGCCAGAAGACATCGATGCGATTGCGTCGCTGCAAAAGGAAAACGACGAGCTGCGACTCCTCTTGCACCACGCCAACGCCAACATGGCGCGCGACGAAGACGCCATCATGGGCTTGAAGCGCCAGCTCAAAACGTACAAGGCCACATCGAGCAACCAAGACGACGCGCCCTCGTCGACGCCCGTGCGACGCGCGCCCAAGATGACGAGCAAGCCGACTCCTGCGAATCCCCTCGTCTTTGGTTAACTCTGATATTTCCCTGTACTATACCATCACACCACCGATGGCCATAGCAAAGCCAGGAAGGATCGCATTTGTCGGCATCGCATCCGACAATAATGTACATGTCTACATGCCCTTGTCGACCTCGCACGTCCTATGGACCGTGGCGAGAAGAGCCAAGACCGTTGGGAAAACACTAACATTGACCTGCGTCCGTGAAACCGACTCATGCCGCCGCGACTTCGGTACATGAGCTCACGCGACCGACCGTCTCACGCATGCATGGACAGAAGTCGCAAGCGCAAGCCGCACATGGGCATTCGCCTCGATGCTCTGCCTCCCTCGTATATTACTATCTTGTCACCGGATAATTCGAATGAGGACGTTGCATAGCCCGACGATCGCACGCGCCCAGGACCTTCTCGCCATGTCCTTGGACCTCGCCTACAAGGAGCTGCCGCCCGAGCTGCTGCGCGGCACTGACGTCGACCTCTCAGTACGCCTCTCATGTGTAGAAGCTAAACGCTCTATGTGCAAGCAGATGTGGACGCTTATCGCATTCGACTCGTGCATGGCGCGGCTCGCGGCACTGCAATCGCCGCTGTCCAACCAGTTGCCCGAGAGTCCGTCCTCGAGTACGTCGTAGGCTGCTTGGGTAGCTCGAGATGGTATTGCAGCTCACATAGATATCGATAGAAACACCTCAGCGGCGCGATATGAAACTCAATTTGCGAAATGGCGAGCATGTACGCATGGTTGAGATCAACACCGGCATAGACAAGACGCGCTAGATTACAGATGCGGGTGTGCTCTGCGTCTTGCGGACCATGGGTCCTCTCCTGCAGTCGCTGGTGCTGAGTCGCTGTCCCCAAGTTGCCCTTTGCCGTCCATTTCATTTTGGTGACCACAAATGGTAGCTCACGGATGGTCTCGTGCGCGCCGTCGCGGGCGCGTGCACGTACTTGCGACGCTTGGATCTGAGCCACATGATGACGTTGGAAGGCGCGGGTGTCGCGGCCATCGGCGACGGCTGCGCCTATCTCGAAGGTGCCACAAGAACAAAGCCCCGACATCACATGTGTTGCGTAGACCTTAGCTTGAGCGGGTGCCGACAGCTCCCCGAGTATGCACTCATCAAAGTGACGCACGGTTGTCGACGGCTGCGAGCGTTGGATGTCGCGCACTGCGTTCATGTACGCAGCGGGCCGGTTCGTGCCCAACGCCAAGCTTTTCTGGTAGGCCACCGACGCGCTTTTGACCGCGCTCTCTCAGCACTGTCCCCGCTTGCACTGTCTCAATCTCAACGGCTGTAAAGAGGTTCTTTGGAGGCTGCACGGACCGGGTTCAATTACTGGCGTGATAGGTATCGGACCAGGGCTTGCACGCCGTCGCGAACGCCTGCTTGGACCTTACCCGATTGGAGCTGCAACGCTCCGAGTTTTTGTACAAGATCACCGACATGTGTCTTCTCTCGCTCTCCGAGCACTGCAAAGTCCTCCAAGTACGTCGTTCGCCCTGGAATATGTAGTTTTGCATCGTCCTTGAGAGTCATTTGTCGTCGTCTAGTATCTCGATGTGTCGGGCTGCGACCACATTACGGATGCAGGCTTGAGCTGGCTCGGACTGGGCTGCGCAGCGCTCACGCATGTCGACATATCGGGCTGCAGCAAGCTCACCGACTACGCACTACGCGCGCTCGCCGAAGGGTGCTTGCAACTGACGACACTCGACATTTCGCTCTGCGTGCGCATGACGGATGTTGGCTTGCACCTTATCTCGCTCGGGTGCCACGAGCTCAGCACCCTTCGCATGAAGGGCCTCGTCTTGGCGTCTGCTGGGACCGCGCAGGCCGAGCCGCATGGTCTGGCGGCGCTCGGGCTTCGGTGCACGCAGCTGCAGCACATCGACTTGACCAAGTGCCCACGTGTTGACGATGTACGATATCGCTTGATCTGCGTCGACACGCAACCACTAAGTGTGCGACCGTAGACCGCGCTTCGAAAGCTCCGCTGCCACCACCTCTTGACGCTCACCCTCACGCAGTGCACCAAGATTTCGAGCGACGGCGTGAGTGTGCTGGCCGCGCACTGCGTCAAACTGACGGTAATGGTGTTGAACGAGTGTGCGCTCGTGGACGACCACGCGCTCGCAAGCATCGGTCGGCACTTACGCCAGCTCGAGACCCTCAAGCTGCGCAACTGCGACCGCATTTCGAGTGGCGGACTCCAGCGGGTTTGCCACGGCTGCCACCTCCTCACGTCGCTCGACCTCACCGGTAGAAGGCGGTGACACACTTGCATGCTGACGCAGCGACACGTAGGCTGTGGTTTGGTGGATGACATGGGGCTCTTGGCGATCTGCGACGGCCTTCTCAAGCTGCAGTACCTCTGGCTCGTCGGTCTCGGGCGCATCACGATGGTGGGCATTTCCTGGCTCGCCGACCGCTGTACCCACCTCATGCATCTCGATGTTTCGGTACGTTGCGTCGCTACAGCCATCGTACTAGTTCCTATCATCTAGCACTCGGCGATTTCCTTCATGGCGCTCAAGCCGCTTCGGGCGGCGTGGAAGTATGGTGCCTTGCGGGAGATGGGTGGTCGTCGAGGACTCTTTCCGCAGCACCGCGCCAACGACATGCTATTCATTGACGAGTACGGGCACTGCTGGAAGGCCGCCATCAAGATCCAAGTACCGACCTTGATGCAGTGGTCGCAAAGCTCATCTCCGCACTGCGCGTAGTGTCTCTACCGCTGCAAGGTGGCGCGCCGCGCGGCCGCTGCGCAGCGAGACGATGCGCTCATGCGCTGGGCCGCACGACGAATACAAAGCGTCTTTCGTGGGCGGCAAGCGCGGCGGTATGTGTGGGTGCGCCGCATGCAGCTTCGCAAGCAGACGCAGGCCGCGACGCTCATCCAGGTACCGTGGCGTCTGCCTTTCATTCGCACGATCTTCACCCGTGTACTAGAGTACCTACCGCGCCAAGCGAGCCCGCGAAGAAGCGACGCGACGAAGGCACCGCGCCGAGGAAGCGTACAAGCTACGCATGGTCGTTCGAATCCAAACGAGTTGGCGGAGCTATGTCGCGCGGCGGGAGCTGGCGACCTTGCGCCAACTGGCGCACGCACGGGCCGTCGCACGGGACACCGCCGCACGCGTTCTGCAGCACGCGCTGCGATGCTTTACGTGGCGCCAGCGCTGCCGTGCCCACCACGAGGTCGGCGAGCATCCTGCCTTCTCTGTCTGCTCATGCGCTGCAGGTTGTGCTAGCGCACCGTCGCAAGCAAGATGCCGCAGCGCGCAAGCTGCAAACCATCTACCGCGGGCGCGCGGCGCGGCACGTCGCGCGGCGATTGCGACAAGACATGGCCGCGTGCATGGCCGAGCGAGACCGTGCAGCCACGCTGCTCCAGCGCGCACTGCGGCGGCGGCGCGAGCGCCGACTCTTCTTTCAGCGCGTGCATCGCCGGGTGGCCGAGGCCGCCGCAGCGACGCGAGTCCAGCGACGCTTTCGCGCGCGCCGTGCGATGCTGCAGCACCAAACGCTGCAGCTGCTGCTGCACAAGAAGGCACTCGCCCTCGCAGCACGCAAAGTGCAAAGTGCCTGGCGACGCAAACAAGGTGTCGCGTGCCGACACGTGAGTGACATCTGGTGATCACCGCACCTCGTAGGTCGCATGGGCATGCAGATGCTCAAGTTTCTCAAAGATGCCGCGTTTGAGGCGCGGTCTGCCGCCACGACAAAGCTCCAAACCATCTACCGTGGTCGTCGCGCGCGACTGCACGCCGCACAGATGCAAAGAGACGCCATGCTCGTAGAGCTGCTGGACGCGAGAGATCATTTCTGACGATATCATTGCATGTAGCGCCTCCTCGCCGAAGCAAAGATGCAGCATCAATGTGCCACGCGCATTCAAGCAGGCTGGCGGGGTAAGAAAGGGCGCGACCGGTCCAAGGCCGCGGTCCTGGCACGCAAGAAGCGCTGGAAGGAAGTACCCAACCCCGAGAACGGCACCAAGACCTACTACGTACGACATTGTCTATCTTGCACTATACCAAAGAAAAACGTGAACTAGCACCAAGACACGGGCGAGATCCGGCACCGTATGCCCCAAGACATGCTCGACCTCTTGCCGCGCCCCAAGTGCAACGACTGCGGTACATCGCCACGCAAATGAGCCGCAGTCGTATCGCTTATTGTAGATATCGCGGACGCGGCCAACGAGTGCCAAGACTGCCAAGAGTTCTTTTGCAAAGCGGTGCCGTGTGCGGCCGTCTCGAACGACTCGGCTCATATTCGTGTAGTGCTGGGAGGCCATCCATGCGGGCGGGCGGCGCCGGCGACACGCCTTCCGCACCCTCTACGACTACTACGACAAGCGCATCGACTATGGCGACGGCGAGTTCCCATCGCTGTGGCCGTCCGAGATGGAGCAAGACGAGCTCGATGGCTGGTTCCTTCGCGTCGGCGAGTACCGGACGCCAAATGTGGTCCTTGGCGACTGGGAAAAGTACATTGACCACGAGACAAAGCGCGAGTGGTACTTCAACGTGTCGACCAAAGTGAGCTCGTACGTGCCGCCGGACGCGTTCACAGCATCGGCCGACGACATTGCAATGGCGTGGGTGCGCAAGGTCGACGTGACCAACAACGTCACATACTATCTCAACCAAAAGACGGGCCAGCGCACATTTGACCGGCCGTCGGCGTTTGCCGAGCCGACTGCGGACGACGTCTCGATCTACGCGCCAGTGCAGCTCGGCGAGTGGACGCAGTACTGGGACGAGGCCAACCAGGTGTACTACTACTTCAACAGCGTGACGCTCGAGTCGACGTACACGCCGCCGACGCTCGCATAAGAAATCGAATGTGTCGACTAACGCTTGAAGATGAGGTTGTTGAAGCTTCTTTGGACGTTGGCGCTGGCCGCGGGGAGTTGGGGGTGGGCTAAGTATTGGCGGCAGTACGCCAAGCTCGCGAGCTTCTTGCTGTCTTGGCGCAAGAACGCCGGCACGTCGAGAAGCGCGAGGCGAAGGGTCTGGAGATGCGCGACACACGTAGCAAACGCCGCTGGGTCAGGGAACCGACAGAGAAAATGGCGGGCGCCCTGCGAGATGCGCAGGACCCGCGTCCCCATGACGACCTTGTCGGGCTTGGGGAAGGACCGTGTGAAGGACCCATTGCCCTTGAAGACGATCATGCCATCGTCGTCGACGACGAGGTCGTAGAGACGCTGCGAGTGCTTGAGCACCCCGTCGACCTGCACGACGAGCTGGGCACGGAAGCGCATGCTGCAAGGCCGATGCGGAAAAGATATTGAAATGAGAATCCGGTTAATCCACCGGATATCCTTTGCAAAAACTGCCACGTCAAAGGGCGACACGAGGTGGCATCATGCTGCGCCACGTGCCATGTCGACGCTACCTGTACACGCTGCATCCGCCAGCGCTCGCGACGTCAGCTTACGTACCTCTGCATGGCCCTCGTGTCGTCTACCTCGAGCGCACCGAGGGCGGCGTCCCGTTCGAGCCATCGCAGCCACCGCGCATCGAGCCACCCTGTCAAGTCACGTACCTGAGCCCGCGCATGCTCGCCCTCACGTTTGCCGATGCCAGCGAGCTCAACACGAGTCTTTTTATCGACGGTCAGGTCGTGCCGCTTCCGAGGCAGCTTGTCGACGTCGACGTCGATGGCGAACACACGCCGCCCCTCGAATTTATGAACCAGGCGCTCATGGCCGGACGCAACACCATTGGCGTCTTCGAGCTTGCCTCCACGTCTCTGCGTCTGGCCGAGCTGCAGGCTGCTATCGAACCGCGCCTGAAGCGTACGCGCGCTACGTTTGCAACCTTGTTTCGACTGTACGACCCGAAAACCAAGCGATTTCATGCGCTACGGGATAGCACGCCGGTCGGCCCACACTTTTTGGCGCTCACGTCCGACGAAGCAACGACAACATTGGTCGACCGCATCGCGGCGGTGCCCATGGATGCGTACCGGCCATGGGAGCTATGGCTCGTGCGCGGGTCGCGGGATGGTATCGTCTTCCGCGTCCCGCATGGCATCATCGACGGCATGGGCTGCATCCAGTTTCTCCAACGCGTTCTCGCGGACGCTCCATGTCCATCGACCATCCGGCCACAACGAACAAGCACCAGGCACTTCACGGACGTCGTCGACGCACTCGGGCGCCTCTGGGACGATGTAAGTCGCCCCGCCGTGCCCTATCTGGGCTTCCAAGGACGGCGCGACGGGTTTGGCTCGCTCGCCCGCTTTTACGCAGCGCTGACGCCAGCCACTGAGGCGCCCCAGACGTGCTTGTGCCGCATTCCTTTGACGTCGTTCCAGACGATCGCTCGGCGCCACAGCGTCACGGTGAGTCAAGTGCTTGTGGCAGCACTCGGCGATGCGCTCCGCACATTGCTCTTGACCAACTTTGACGCGGCGCTGGTCGAATCGCTGCAGCTGCAGGTGCGCTTACCAGTCGACGCGCGGCACGGCGACGTCGACCGGATGCAAGCGGATCTTGTGGCGATCTGCTTGCCGCTGCATGTCGAGATGGTCGAAGCCAACGACCGCCTGCGTGCGGTGGCCCGGGCGGGGCAGTCGATCCAGAAGGACATCGCAGTACGTCGGTGGTGTCGGGACGCGGGCCTTGCGCTCGTGCCACGCTGGCTTCTTGGACACGTCCCAGTGCCGCCGCGCGGGTCCTGGTCGAGTCCCATGTACGCGAGCAGCGTCGTCGGCCCCGCTGCGCGTCTACGCATTGCGGGTCGACCGCTCGATGCCTTTTACTTTATGTCGTCCGACCTCGACTACCGCAACGCCCACATGCTCGAGGTCGTCAGTGTGTCGTACGACGGGCAGATGCAACTCTCTCTGCGCACGCTTCTTGGCCGCAGTTTGGACCTCGAGCACTTTCAAGACGCGCTTGTCGCCGCGATAGATCGACTGGCGTCGATGAAGCATGACCAATAGACGTAGCTTGTATCAACTTGATACATGAATGGATGGATGCTTTTGGTGGGCAGATCGCAATGCATGTGCCCGAAATCAAGGCAAAAGCCGCTTCGAACTCCAGCAGGCTTGGCCGAACGACACACACGACGAATTGCTGCCTACGACGTCTTCACCGGGCAACAATAGACAAGAGTGCATAACCTCACAGCGACATGCCACTTGCTCATGGAGCTTTCGAGGTCTTGAGGTCGTCAATAGAAGCCGCGTCGCTCCTGCCTTCCTACTTGGCCGTGAGGCATATATCCAAAGTGCTCTCATTTGAATACAAGGGAGACTGTAAAGGGGCAATGTATAACGATACCGCACAGAGCCAAGCCGTTGACTTGGAGGTGCCAGGACCTTACATGTCTTTGAAGGCGTCGTTGCGCTCAATTGTCGCGCCCACTGGAAGCTTTTGGTGCGTTTCATCTCACAAGCAAAATACACATCTGAAAGGGCAGCCCAGCAATCACAAGTGGGCGATCGTATCGATCGCTCTCCGTTCTGTCTACAACGACTGTTTCATCTTAGTTCGTTGCTGCAAGAATACGCTGCCACGTCATAGCGCAGTCAAAATAACCACCTCGCCGTATATATAGACGAATGTCGGGCTCGGACGAGCCCTTCTCGCCGGGGCGTCCGTGGTGGCGCCAAGAGCGGCGCCACGTACCGTCGCCAGCGTCGCGCACGAATGTGCTCGTCGAACGCCGGCATGTGCTCCCGGTCGTCCACCCGGTGGTCGACCACTTTGCCAATATCCCGACCAAAATTCGGCCGCCGCCGCCCGAGCCGCGGCCCGAAGGCGTCAAGCGGGTAGCCATGCCGCTCGTGACCGAGAGTGAGCGGCCTCGCGGTATTCGCATCAACGCCAATACGTACGTGCCTCAGAGCCCGGTGCAGCGGCACAAGATGAACTCGCCGCACAAGATTCGACTCGAACAGCAAGCGCGCGACTACGAAACGCGGCTCGAGTCGTGGATGGGTTCCAAGCAGCACCGCGAGTACATTGACGAGCGCAACCAGCTGCCGCAGCACACAAATCTTGGCGACAAGAGCTACCACCGCGTCGATTCGTCCCCGGGATTTTTCAACCTCAAGTTGCATCCCAAGTTCCAAACCCAAAACAGCGACCACAACAACAACAACAATCCATCGTCGTCACGCGGCGAGAGCAGTCGGAGAAAGCTCAGCGAATCGCCCATGAGCTACGAGATGAAGAAGAAGGTCCAGATGCGGCTCCTTGAGAAAGAGAGCGTCGGTCTCCTCAGTACTTCGAAAGGCGCAACGATGAGCTGGGAAGAGACCACGGGCCTCCGGACGTGGACGAGTCGCACCGATACACGCGTCGAAGTCGACAATAAATAATCATACACGACATTGCATTTTGGATCTTCAAGGGGTGCGAACCATGGCCGAGCCCGCGACGCCGCAGAGCATCTACGAGTTTACCATCGGGTCAGGCCGAGGCAACCCTGTAGTTTTTCTTGACATTGCGATCGGGAACGACCCGCTGCGACGCCTCCGCTTCGAGGTAGCCCTTCACCAATACAACGATCATCCGAGAGGAGTGTCTAGCTGTTTTACCAGCAGTTGCCGCTGACAACCACCAACTTTCGTCAGCTCTGCACCGGTGTCGTCGGCGATTCCCAACCAACGTTGCACCTGGTCGTATGGCATAGGCGAGAAGGGCTCGGCTTCCCGCACCAAGTGGCTGTGGTGCGCGCTGCCCTTTTCTCGGCGCGCTAAAAGCATCGAGTTATAGGTACAAGGGTTGCTCCATCCACCGCGTTGTGCCAGGCTTCATGATGCAAGGCGGTGACATCACCCACGGTATCCTACCCTCCAATCATCCCTTGACGCATCATGCAGGCAACGGCATTGGTGGCACGGCTGCGTCCGGACGCAACTTTGACGACGAAGTAGGACTCGCTCTGTGGTCATTGGTGAAGGAATCGACTAGGGATTCATGTTTAAAGTACGCGGTCGACGTGGCTGACACTCGGGCTCAGCTGGCATAGCACGTGCCCGGTGCGCTCTCGATGGCCCACCAAGCCAACTGCAACAAGTCGCAGTTTTTTGTGTGCTTCAACCACGTACGACGATAACATTCGTTTGTGCGTGATCGGCCAACGTTTGGTCGGTTAGTTGAGCTGGCTCGATGGTCGCCACGTCGTCTTCGGGCAGCTCATTGCGGAAGACATGGTGTTCCTCAAGGACTTTGACGAAGTCGGGACCTCCTCCGGACTGCCGCTCAAGCCAATTCTCATTCAAAATGCCGGGCAGCTCTGCGGGAAGGACCTCGCCAACGCCCCAGATGTCGACGAGTCACATGACGACGAGTAAACGAAGGACTAGATTCGTATATAGTTGGACGACGCAAAGGCAGAAACGTTCTTAGAACTCGCGCGACCCGTAGCTCGACGACGACGACTTGGAAGTGGGTGCCATGCGACCCGCATTGCCCGACGACGAGACGTTGCGGCGCACCTTGAGGAGCTGCTCGATCCACTCGTCCTTGACATACGTCGACTTGGCGTGCAAGTGCAGCGTGTAATGCGAGTGGTCGGGGAACGCGATCGAGAAGGCTTCCGGGACCTCCTTGTCCTCTTCAATGACCGCGCGCGAGACGTCGATCGGCGGGTCGTCCGAGCGTGCGCGCTCAAAGTCGTCTTTCGTGTTGTAGTAGCGCAGGGCCGGACCGTTGAGCACAAAGTAGCGCTGCTGCCACTTGACGCGCTGCCCGGGGGCTGCGTTCGGCATCGGGCGCCCTTGCTTGATGAGGTACCCGGCGTAGTGCTGCGGGCTCTTGTTGGTCGCGACTTCGTTGGCGCGAAAGTTGCTCGCTTGCGCCGTGTCGGCAAGCCGACGCAGCGTCGCGTTGTGGTTGAGCACGTGCTCGAGCTCGTGCGTCTTGTACTCGAGCGTCGCCCGGAGCGCGTCGACTTCGCCCTTGGACTTGCGCTCGGCTTCCTTTAAGCTCGACTCGGACTTGAGGATATCTTGCTGCGCGAGCTCCTTCATGGCCGTGGCTTGGCCCTGCGCACTCGCCACTTGGAGGCTGATCGCACTCAGGTCGTTCTAACACGACAAAATACGATCTATCCAAGATAATGATCCAGTGCGCGCACCTGGAGCGCGCTCAGGGCCGACGCGTGCGCCTTGTTGGTGTCTTCTGTCCACTCGATCACTTGGTCGAACACGTTTTGGCTCATAAACGCGCAGTAGGCCGCGTCGGCCGATGGGCCAATGGCCATGCGGCAGTAGTCCTTGTACACACCGTCGAGCTCCGAGAGGTAGTGCGACGTGCGCTGAAAGTACTGCAGCGCGTCAAACTCGGGCTGCTTGAACGGGTTGAAGCGGTGGGCCGTCAGAAACTGCAGGAGGTTCTTGCAGTAAATCATCGACGCGGCCGCGTTCTTTTGCTTGTACACGTCAAGGATGCTATTGGTCGCCGCGCGGAAGGCCAACTTGAACGACTGCATGTCGGCTTGGTCGCCAATGTCGGCGGCCCGGAGCGCCTTTTCCGCATGGCTCAAACACAGCGTGTGGATCGCGTCCACGTCGGCGGTCGGCGCCGGGAGCGAGATCAACTCCTTCACGATCGGTGCTGGCGGCGGCACCACGTCTTCTTCGGTCGTTGCCGAGACGTAGAGGTCGCTTGGCGGCTCGGGCGGCGGCTGCACAAACCGCTTGAGGTTGCCAAACTCGTCAAACTGTGCCGTGCCCGCGCCGACGTTGACGATTTGCGTGTCGGACGCCGCTTCGATCGCGTCGTTGGCTTCGTGCTCGAGGATGTCGATGAAGTTTTCCTTGCCTTCGACATAGTCGGCGACGCGCGTGTTCATTTGCTTCTTGTACTGCTCGACCGCGTCGTCGACCGCGTCTTCGCACTGCGCCTGCACGACGCGCGACCACGCACTCGAAATCACCGGCGCCTACACGAGCATCAATATTGTCGGATAAATATGTGACTAGAATCCATACCTTGCCGCTGTTGAGCGCCTCAATGTACGACTTGGCGAGATTCGTAAACATAGCGCCGTTGAGCGCCTTCCCAAAGAGGCTTTTGGGCGACGCCTTCTCGAACAGCCGCTTCTTCATCGCCTCAAACTTGGTCCGGAACTCTTCGCGGAGCTCGCCGTACGGGACGTTGGGCAAGTTGCGGAGCTGCGCTTCGTCCTCCACGGGGCGCACGAGCGTCACGCAATCACGCTACCAATCATGTCTGAGATGACGAGGACAGTTTGCACTTGTATATCTACGTCGCGGAAAAAGTCGGAGAGGAGAAGACGGATCTGGTCCCGCGCCGCCACGTCGGCCGAAAAGCCGCCCTAGCAGCCAGAACGTAGTCGGGTGGCAGTGCTGCTGCTGCTGCTCGTACCTGCGGCTTGAGCGCGTTCTCGAGGTACTGCTTGGACGTGATCTCCTTGCCGTTGTCTTGGAGCTGGAGCGTAAAGTCGCGCACGACCCAGAGAAACGACGGGAAGAACTCGTGGAGCGCGCCCGGGTTGGTCTGCGACGTCGCCGACGTCTGGATGTGCTTGGAGAGGTTCACGACGAGCGAGAGGTCTTCGACTGCGTTGCCGTCGATGACGCCGCGGCTGTTGTAGACAAAGTACGAGCCCAAGAGCAGCGCGAGCGCAAAGAGGCGCGTGTCGTGCGTCTGCTCGCGGTCCACCGACCCGATGCCCTCGGTATCGAGAAAGATGACGGACGTGCCGTCCTCCATGACGAACGGCTCGCCCCACATCCAAATGCCTTTGGTGCACGCGTTGATGGTGCCGCCAACGGCAAAGCCATGGCCGGCGGTCGCGACCGCGTCCGGGCTCTGCGCGTTCACGAGCAGATTGAGGAGGAACGACTTGCCCGTGCGGTAGAGACCAGCCACGGCCACGATGGCGATCTTGCCCTTGATCTTGTCGAGCTTGGCGACGGCGGCCTCGTCGAGGTGGAACGAGCCGTCGGCCTCGACGCGCACGAGCGGAACAGGGGCGAGGGGCTCGGCCATGCTGCTTCTTCTGATCGTCGTCTTGTGGCAGTCACAAGAAATTAGTGTTGCTGCTCGGTTGTAGGTTGTCGGTTTGTACCTTTTTTTTATGCGGATGCCAAAACAAGATTCGAAATGACAAAAAAGGAGATGGCCGGGTTGTGCAGGAAGGGCCATGTACTGCTGCATGTACTGCATGTAGCTGGGCTAGAGACAAGGGTCAATAGTGACCCATGGCTAGAGACTAGGTGCGCAATGCAACGAGACGGTCGATGATCCTTGTATGAAGCGCGATCAACAGGATGCCCCGACCAGCGATGGTGCAAGTGCTGTGGCCACTTGTCGTCTATGAGCGAAAAATAGAAGGAAAAATCGAATCCGCAAGAGGCTGCATGTAGCGCACTCCGGAGCACCGCGGCCGTGAGATCTGGGATGGCAACCACCAAGGGAATAAAATGCAAGGTATATAAAGCGTTTAGAAAGGACGATGGCGCTTAGGATTTGTACTCGCTGTGGTCGGTTGGCTTGGACGACGGCGATCGCGGGCCGTCGTGGCCGTGCTTCATGCGTTCTTTGAAGACTTCAACCGTGTTGCGCTGGCGCACGCGGCTGTACGCCCCGAGCCACGACATGCCGCCGTCATGCGGCCGCGTCTTGACGGACGTGCTGAGGTCGATGAACGCGTCGAGCGCCAAGCGAATGCTGTCACTGTGCTTCTCGGCGACCCGGCGCGATGACTTGAGCGCTTCCGTGTGGTGATCAAGGTCTTTCTGAACGACTTTGGCTTCGTCGTACGTGTGACGGCGCCGGGGCACTTGGGAATCGGGCTCGATCGTGTACGTTCGCCCCGCGTCGGCGGTCGTCGTCGGGTCGCAAACATCGCCGTTTTGCTTTTGAATGTAGAGTGAAATGACATCACCGCTGTCCTTGGTGGCTTGAAGCCGCGTCAAAATGTACTTGATCGTAGCCTCGCGCTTGGCGGCTGCGCTCTAAGCAGGATGTTAGCTCTGGCATGGGGCATGGAGTACCATGTCCTCATTCGGTTGCTGCTTGCTTTCCGCTGCCGTACTGGAGCTCGCAATGCATTTGTGCAAAAGCGCCAAGTCGAGGACGAGCGGCTTGATTTTCTACACGATTTGTGTCCGAATGAGGAGGAGATAGGTCGAGTCGGGTGGTCGTACATCGCGCGAGTGATCCTTTTGAGCCAAGACGGTGATGGTGCGGACGTTGATGGCTTCGTACATGTGCAGCTCAAGCGTCTCGTTGATGCGCCAAAACAGCTTATTGCCATCGTAAATAAGGCGCTGGCGGCACGGCGAGCTCGGGCGGATATCGCGCTAGACGCACGTGTCACAACACTCCGACGTAGTCAGGTAGTAGGTGCTACCCTGCCGTTGAGCTCGAGCTGGAACGCGAGCTCCGACTCCTGCATCGCCGCCTTATGCAGCGGCGAGTGGTTGACGTGGTCTTCGAGCTTCTTGGCCGAGCGCATGCTGATCTTGCACACCTCGCTGGTGACACGCAGTGTTAGCCCCTGGAGCATTCCCAGTCGCATGCATCGACGTACCAGGTGTACATGGGCTGGGCCTCGGGGCTCTACGTCCATCATTATTAGGCAGCCACCTGCATGCAGGTGTCTACCTCGCACTGGGTGAAGATCGTGTTCATGTCGTCGGCGTCGTGGCACGAGAATGACACACGACGCGAAACACCTTGGGCGCTAAAAATAGAACGTCATCTGATTGGCTTGCTATCCGGACGCTTTCCGGACAGCGCCGCCTGGCTAACCAATATTGCGGGATGCCCGACGCCCTCCACGTGCTCGTGGTCGCCGACATCCGCAATGCGATCGGTCGCGTCAATGATCTGTGTGATTACGTCATCCGCCACCGCCCCGTGGACGTCGTGCTTGTCTGCGGCAGCTTTGTCGCGCCGGCCGGGCTCCAATCGCCCGAGGAGCTCGCGGCCGCGGAAGGCGACATGACGGCGCTCATCTCACGCCTCGAGATGATCGTTTGCCGCGTGGTCTATGTGCCTGGCCCATATGACCCGAGCTCGACCAAGCGCCCGACGACCAAGCCCTTCCTGCCCAAGCTCACGCCCTATTCGATCAACTGCGACGGTGCGTCGACCGTGCTCTTGCCCGAAACCGATGGCGACCGCACGTTGAGCCAAGGCAGCCCGCTCCCAGAGCTTGTCGTTGAGGGCTGGTCATCGGTCATCGATGGTCATGTGGCCATGGAGCTCCGGACAAAGTACGCGATCGACGAGAGCCAATGCAGCGTGTACCGCAAGCTGGCGCGGCTGCCGTGGTGTTGCCGCATCGGGCTGAGCGACCATAGCTTCGGCAGCGTCGATTGGATAGAGAAAGGCCAAGTGTTGTTGCGTCCTGGTAAGTGGTTGGTACCGCCTCCACTATGTACAACGAGACATGTCTAGGCTGGTTCTCGTCGGGGTCGTTCGCCTTTGTCGAGTTTGGCCCTCGAACACTCGGCGCCGACACGGAAGACGAAGATGAGGACGAAGAGCCTGCATGGGACGTCAAGGCGTGTGAGGTGTTACATCTCAACGACGAGTTTCAAGGCTAATACTAGACTGTCGGATTGCAATGTGCGGGTGCCATGCTGTTTGGCGAAAAGGGATGTGCACGAGCTTGGACGGAGGTGACGCGCCTAGCAGCTGCGTGAGCGTCAAAATACGGGGCACTCTTGCATACCCAAGCGGTCCCTGTCATGCTGGGCCTGTTCGAGATGTCGTCGCAGGGTGGTGTGTGGTGCTTCGTCCGCCACGGGGCTGGGGGTTGCAATTCGAATATCGCTGCTTTGGCCGAGAGGCACACTTGTTGCTGCACGTGGAGGCTCCTCGGAATGGTGGCGAGATGCCCCACGCGCTTCGATTGCCAGCAAGTTCTGCCGCGTATCATAGGTCTACGCAATCCTCTTGCATGCCTCCTTGCCTGGTGCAATGTACCTTTTCCTGGAGGATCGCAAGCAGTTTTTGCTTGGGGTGTAGCACGGGCGCCGGGGGTGGCGCCCGACGCGGCCCTTCCATCTCAGATCTCATATGCGTTCGATGCCATTGGCTTTATATTTTGGCCAATGGCATTGCGCGAAGCTAGTGGACCAATCGGAGGGCATTTTGACATTGCACTTTCTGGTTGTGATGGCGGCACCGTGGCAAAGCCAGCTGACGACAACCGAGACGTCGCCAACGCCCGACGTCGTCAACGAGTACCACGTCAAGGACCTCTTGGGCCGCGGAGCATTCGCCAAGGTCAAGCTCTGCGAGCGTGTGGTCGATGGCGCGCCGCCGCGCCCCTTTGCGCTCAAGATTCTATCCAAGCCCGCGCTGGCCAAGATGAAAGAGTACATCCGCGATGGCACGAGCATGCGCGCCGTCACGGCGCTGGAGAAGGTTGAAATTGAGGTTGCCATCATGTCGAACTTGTACCACCGCAACGTGGTGCTGCTCTTCGAAGTCATCAACGATCCACGGAGCGACAAGATCTACCTCGTGCTCGAGCACATGGCGAAAGGACCGTGCATGGTATGGCAAGCCGCCTCCAAGCTCTTTGAGAGCCCGGTCACGAGGGATGTGCTGGACGAAGACCTAGCTCGGAGTCACGTGCTGGACCTGCTCCACGGTGTCACCTATCTGCATGGCCAGGGCGTCTGCCATCGCGACATCAAACCCGACAACCTCCTCCTCAACGACGAAGGCCGATGTCACTTGTCGGACTTTGGCTGCGCGCAGAAATACGTCCAAGGGACGCTTGTCACGGACACGGCAGGAACGTTCGAGTTTTGGGCGCCAGAGTGCTGCAACGGCGCGCCGTACGATCCGTTCAAAGCCGACCTGTGGGCGATCGGCGTCACGTTCTACATCTTTCTCTTTGGGAAGCTGCCGTTCCAAGCTGAGAGTCCAAAGGAGCTCTTTGAGCGCATCGTCGAGCAGCCGCTGGAGGTGCCAACGACCGAGGTCTCGCCCGACGCGATCGACCTCCTGCAGAGCCTCTTGGAGAAGGACCCGAGCCAGCGCATGGCGCTCGATATGATGGAGTATCATCCATGGCTTCTCGCGCTTCCGCCCGAGCCATTAACATTTTAATAGCAACAAGAGCTTCTGTAGTACGGCTCAATACATTAGAACCCCGACGACGACGAAGGATGGATGTCAACAGCAACGCCATCCATTCGACAGTGGCAATGGCTTGTCTTGTTACTTTATGGCATGGCCTGGGAAGGTCATGCAGCGCAATGCCTCCCACCTGCCAAAGCTACGAGTCTTAACGGACCTTGCGTTTTTGTTGATGTTTGATTCGAAGCGGGGGCTACGAAGGGCTGGATCTATCTCTCCGTACTACGTGCCAACTTCCACGCATTCGTCAGGTGCAGCGCTTCGAATGCTCAGTCAGTCAGATATACTTGAGCTTTGATGTAAATACAGGAACACGCAACGACCAGAGCTGATTACGTGGCGCCGTCGTACATGGCTGCCATGTCTTCTTCGAGCCGATCAAACACGATTTCCATGTGCACGACGTCGAGGCCATCCCCGCTGAACGGGTCTTCAAGCGCTTCTTGGGCGTTGAGAATGCCAATCATCATGAGGCTTGTAAGGATGGCAAACGCGAGCGCGAACGCAAAGTTTGTACGGTTCGTGGCCCCGTCGCCCGACGCCACGTTGACATAGTACGGACCGTAGAAGAACGGCAGAACGTGCACGAGCACCTTTGTGAACGACCGCGTCGCTTGGGGCGTCCGGTACATTTTGATGTTGATCAAGCTCAGCACGCGCGAGTGGATCATCCAGAGGTACTGGTACAGACGCGAGGCCTCGCCTTCCGAGAGCCCGTGGCCTTTCAGATCGCGCACTTGGCCGTGGAGCTGCTCCAAGCCGACGGCGAGGCGTGACCGCAGTGTCTGCTGCTGCGCCTGTTGCGCCTGGGACTCGCGGACGCCCGCGGACGTGAACCGGTGACGACCGCGCGTGACGTTGGGCAAACTCACGAGCTCGCAGAGGTCGTACATGATGCCGCGAATGAGTAGCCGCGTGCGAGTGAGGAGCGCCGTTGGGACGCACGCTTGCTTGGCCGGTACAATCCACTGACGATGGGCCACATACACGTTGAGCATGAGAGCCTTGGCTAGACCAATCGTGAGTCTCATCCAAGTCAAGAGACATACTTTCAGCCACGAGCAAGAGCGCATTCTCGCGGCGGTTGTACGCCTGCTGCGTCTGCATGATGATGGGCGAAACGATAGCAAATGTCACGAGCGTCCACGAGAGGTTGTAGTTGAAGACAGCGTCTGTGTGCGTATCGACATAATAGTACACGGACGTGGCCAGCACCGTGTTGAAGAAGACCACGAGCGTCTCGAACGTCAACAGGTAATAGCCAAAGACAGCAAACGCAGCGTACAAGTCCAAGCTGCCAATGCGAACATTGCTTTGTGCACGCATCGCGAGCGATAATCGCCCATGGGAGCGTGCGATGGTGCTATGATCGTCGTCATCGTCGTCGTTGTCGGTGCTCTTCTCGTGCAGAAGCGCGTCGATCGAGACCCAGCCGCTGCCCGACGTCGGTGCTGACGTGCGGCCCATGGAGGCTTGCCGCGTGAGCTCGATAAAGCTGCGGCGCGCATCGCGCTTGCTCAGCGGTCGTCGTGACGCCTTGGACGTGAGCAGCTCGCGGTAGTCGCCAGCTGGATGCTTGTCCTCGGCCGATGCTTCCATGGCGCTAAATTTGGCGTTGCTACAGGGTTCTAAATTATCGAATATGGGAGACTTATCTTAATTTTAATGTGATTATAGGATCCATACAAAAATACAATGTTTTTATTCTAAAGCAAACGATCGAATCTGAGAGGTAAACCCATTGCAAGCTCAAGATCTGTGCCATGGCCGAGCCGAGCGCAACGACGCTGCTCCTCGCCGCCCATCGCGGGGTCCCTGGCCTCGTAGCCTACATCGATGACCATGCAGGCTACGCCCATGCAGTGCTTGCGCTCGTGCTTGAGGCGAGCTTACAAGCGCAAATCCCACTGCGCCGGAAGCGGGATATGTGGAGCGCGCTTTTGTTGCAGCAGCCCACGCTTTGCTTCATCGAACCAGCGACGCGCACATCAACACTAGCGGCGCTACGATCTCTGGGCGCGGACGCCTATGTGATTTCATTGGCGCACATGGCGCTCTGTCCTGAAGACGTGCCGCCAGACGACAGCGTGCCACTGGCGCCCGAGGTTGAGGTCGACGGGCTTGTTGTCGCGCCTCTCTTTCAGAGCAAGGCTGTCCATGCCACCGACGACACACTCAAAGTAGACATTGATGATGAAGAGGAGAATGACCGGGCAGCGTCCAAGCGGCCCCGTCTCGAGGCCAATCGACCTGAATGCATCGAGATCGATCTCGACGACGACGAGGTGAATCCGCTCGACCTGCTCGGTGTCAAAATGCTGGCGCAAGAACACGCGTCTGTCGACGTCCCGGTGCAGCAAGCGACAGAGAGTGCTCTCGACGCACTGCCAGCTACCATCGAGCTCGCGCCAGAGGTACGCCATCCATTCAGCCTAAGAACGATGCATCATGGCGTCGTATGTAGCATCAAGCCAAGGTCGCGCTACTTCTCAAGGCGATTGGGCGCTTGACGGGGCACGTCGCCGACGAAGTCGCTTCCGTATGCGACGACATTTTGTGTCTCTGCCTCGACATCACATTGGGCCCCGAGCCCATCATCGCCAAGCTCGAGGTTCTCAGCGACAAGCTGCAGCTCAACACGCTGCCAGACGAAGCCCTCGTCGTATTTTGCTCGTGCGTTCCTACTGTGTATACCTTCCTAGGTATATACATTATCCGCTTGCGTAGGAAGCTTCTCGATGCGCAGTGGAGCTTGCGTGCGTCCATGCACCTCGTGTCCATCAGTCTCTTTCGCAACGTGATGGCGTCACCAAATGCAATCTCGCGTGGCCTTGTCCAAGTGCTCTCGCGCCTCGCCACCGACCACGCGAGCGTCGTCATCGAGCAGCTTCTCGTGCCCATCATGACGTCAGTCGACTTGTCGGAAAAGGCGCCCCAGTGCGAAGTCGTGACGCGGCTGCTCCGCGATGGGCTCCATGCATCTCACATTGATGCGCTCGTACAGCAAGTCGTCGCCGACCGACAAGCATCCCCGTTCATGACGTCCGAACGCATGCTGCTCGTGCTGCAGACGCTCTTCAATCTCAAAGCATTGCTTTCGCAGGTAGAAAATGGCGGTGCGTTCACACTCAAACGGTGGGTAGGCGACGATCGACAGCGTTGTCGATGCCATGCTCGCCGCTGTTTCGCGCCACGCAAAGTCGGTCAAGTTTGCCACTGTCCTCTTCACCGTCGTCTCCAAATACCCAACACTGTGCGCCCCGCACCGTGAGACACTCTTTGAAATCGGGTCGGGCTGTCACTCGTCCATGGCCAAAACCGCACTGCGCGCGATTGAAAAGCTCCCTTGAAACTGTCTTGATACTGTCTTGATATTTACTTGCCAATGCAAAAATCGCGGAACAGGACGTCAAGAATGTCCTCGACGTCGATGCGCCCAAGGATGCGGCCAATCGAGTGGATGGCGCGGCGGAGGTCTTCGGCCGCGAGTTCCGACTACATGTAGTGTTAGTCAGTTAGTCTATAATCTGCGAAACGAGAGGCAGCGTACCTCGTATGGGTGACTCAAAAACGCCTCGAGATGCGTCACGCAGTCTTGAAGGTGCGTGCGGTGGCGCTCGCGCGTGATCAAAAGGCCTTGTACATCATCGTTGACGCCGGCAAACCTACATTGCATGGATAGGACATATCCATTTGCGATAGTTTCATACATGGACTGAACGCGCTGCTGGAGTGTCTTGAGAAAGGCGTCAATGCCTGCACCGTCGGCACACGAAATAGGGCAAATGGCCGCTGCTTGCACCTAGTGTCAACGTTAGTATTGGACGCGTGTCGACCGTCATGACGCCACCTGGAGCGTCGGCAGCGTCCGCGTCGCCAGGTCGAGCTTGTTGAGAACGACAATCGTGTTGGCGTCAATGAGCTTTAGCAGCTGCGGATCCACCGACGACTAGACGCATATCAGGCATTTTGCGTATGCAGTCATATGTATACGTGAATGTCGATGACGAGGATCTTGATGTGAGCGTCTTCGCGGCACTTGTGCGCGCGTGAGACGCCTTCTTGTTCGATGACTAGCGCCAGAAACATTGCCGCCAGGACCATCATATCCAGACACGTACCATCATTCGTCTCGCGAATCCCAGCCGTGTCGTTGAGCGTGACCGGGTACCCCCCGAGATTGAGGGGGACCGTCACAATGTCCCGCGTCGTGCCTATATTGCATTTTGCATTTGTTGTCGGTATGGATCATATCGACCTGCAATCGGCGACACGATGGCTGCGTCGCGCTGCGCCAAAACGTTGAGAAGACTCGACTTGCCCGCGTTGGGCGACCCGAGAATCGCGACTTGAACGCCGTTGCGGAGAATCTCGCCACGCCGACCGTCGGCGAGGTGGCGGCGAATGGACGCATCCAGCGCGCGCACCCTACGTGCGCCTCGTGGGATGACGTTATTATGAGAAAGTGTGGGCGCACTTGTCGACGACAGCGTCGTACGCTGCGTCCGTCACGTCGTCTTCGTCGTCGCCAAAGTCAATGTTGGCCTCGGCGTGGGCCATGCAGCGCACCAGCGTTGAGCGCCAGTCCTCAAAAACTGTGCCGACGGTGCCCGAGATCTGTCCATGGCATGATTGAGAGGTAGAAAGCATGGTCGTCGTACTTGGTGCAGAGCTTGCTTGCGCTGTGCTTCGGTCTCCGAGTTGAGAAGATCCGCGAGGCCTTCGACTTGCATGAGGTCCATCTTGTGGTTCTCAAACGCGCGCTCGGTGAACTCGCCGGCTTCGGCCGGTCGACAGGTCTACGCAGGTGCTTCATGCCCCGTCCCATGCCTGCGTCGAGTACCGGGATCGTCGAGAGCGCTTGGAGTACGCCGGTCACGACCGGTCGACTGCCGTGCAAATGCAGCTCCACAACGTCTTCGCCTGTAAAGCTACGCCGCGTGGTGCTTAAGACTAATATCGAAATGGATCATGTACCTCTTGGGTTGTGGGAACCGGAGGGCCATCGCCGAGTCGAGGAGCTCCTTGGTTTGCGGGTGGTAGATCTTACGCACCGCCGCCCTAGGCGTCTTGGTGAGATGGCCGCAGGAAGATTGGTGGCCAACAGGCGCGGCGCGGGCAACGCCGGTGTCGTCGTCATCTGCGCCAAGCACGCGTCGGCCATCGGGCCCGAGATGCGCACAATGGCTACGCCGGCGCGGCCTTCTGCGGACGAGAGCGCGTAGATGGTGTCCTGCGAGAAGAAGCGCGCAGCCAGCGCACGTGGCGGGCCAGCGCGGCGACCGATCCAGCGGTGCATCATCATATCCTGCAATGGCCATTTGATTGGCTCACCACCAATACACCTAAATAGTGTACCTCATGGCCAAATCATATCTGGCTTCGCTATGGGCAGGGTCATCGTATGCGCCATCGTATTTATCGTAATATAAAGGCGCTGGAGATTTGGCCGCCGAGGAGCACGCGACGCCAGTCGCGATTGTGCGTATTGTCGGTGAACGCTTCGAATAAACACTAAATCCGTACCAAATAATACGTGTGAATTCGATGGACTTCCTAATGGAAAAGAGGGCCCACCCTACGCAATCAAGTGCGACGTACTTGATGCGACTTATACAAAGAACCAATGCATAAAAACGTACTTTATCGAAACAATACACGAGGCGGTGCATTTTGGATTTGGGATGCTCGCCCGAGTAGCGTCGTCCTTGCACCTCGTCCGATCGATCCAAGCGCGCAGCATGAGCCATACGACGTCGCCGCCCAAGGCTGCAATCTGCGTCATTGCGAACGAAGTGCTTAGCGGCAAGGTCATCTGCAGCCACGACGATGGCGGTATCCGCATCTCATGGTGGTTTTAGACGCTGGACACGAACAGCAACTACCTCGCCAAGTTTCTCTTTCGCCGTGGCATTGACCTCGCGCGTATTAGCGTCATTCCTGACGATGCCGAGGCAAGGCTTTGCTTGCGCTTCGAGCGTGCACGTGTGCTGAAGATGGAAGTAGGTGATTGCCGAGACGGTGCAGTCGTTCGCCAAGCTCGTGGGGCCGACGGGCTACGTTTTCACGTCAGGTACCTCGCTTGACGCGAAAAAAGCTGCTACATTTTACGTGTATGTAGGTGGTATTGGCCCTACGCACGATGACATTACGTACGAAAGCATCGTACGTACTTTGCCATGATCCAGCTCCATACGCATGACAATGCATTAGGCCGCCGCGTTTCAGGTGCCGATGGAAGTACATGGCCCAACGCGCGACGACCTCCAGCGCTTTCTCGAAGCCAAGGGCCAAGAGCTCAACGAAGATCGCCTGCGCATGGTCACGTTCCCAAAAGGTCTCTCGACTTCATACTTGCTCTCGTTGCTCATGAGCGATCGGTGGTGTGTATTAGGAGCCACTGTGCTCAAGACTTCGACGTGGGTACGTAAACAAGCGCGTTTGATTTTGTGTTTACGGGAGGAATCTATATCTTAGGTGCCGATCGTGGCTGTCGAAAACGTGTACATCCTCCCGGGCATTCCGCGTCTTTTGCATCAAATGATCGAGTCCAACGAAGATTACTTCAAGGGCGTCCCGATCTTGCAAGCCAAGGTGCGCAGTCTACACCGTGACAATGCGAGTTTGACGTTGTGATACAGGCGCGAACGCACCTTTTTGAAGGGGCTATTGCCGCGGGCCTCAAGAAGATCCAGAACGAGCACCCGTCCGTCATGATTGGCAGCTATGTCAACACCAAAGGTGAAATACGACTGCACTTTCACGTAACCAAGTTGCCTGCTGTAGAGGACCATATCGACGTCGAGAAGCGCGCGTTCCAGGTCCAAGTGACGCTGTACAGCCGCAGCCAAGCCTCGATTGACACGGTGCTGCCGCTCATCGTCAAGAGTATTGATGGCTGGGTCGCGCCCACCGACGCATAGTGTCAAGCGCCATGTCATACAGGAGGCATTCGACTTCTAATGGCTCGAAGAGAAGCAAATTCGTCTTATGTTGACCCAAAATGAGAAACAATCGGTCTAAAGGTGGCTCTAAGAAATCAGTCTTATAGGTCAAAGAAATAAGTCTTATGGGTCCAAGATCCGACTGAAAAGGCCGTATTTGTAACGCACGATGCAAGCACTGCTCCACGCGTCGACGACCGTCGTCGACGAGGACGACGAGGTCGACGACCCGCTGGTGGCCCATCTGTACGCGACGTTTGACGACCTCCCACTCGTGCCAACGCTCGACGCCTTTGCCGGCACCGAGGACCGGTCGCTACTGGCTGTCGGCAGCGGCGCTTTGCGAACCCACTGCCGCGATGTGTGCTTGGACTTGTATGCCGCCGCCATCATCCTCTCGCTGCACTTGCTCTCGCTGGAAACCGTACGCTTCGCTCACCGCATGTGTTGGCTCATGTAGGAAGGTGGGGTAGGCGCTTGTTGTCGGCCTCTCGATCGTCTCGACGAGTGCCTACTTCCACGCGCACGTCGCTACGGACGGCCCGTCGTTCGCCGCGAATCTCTCGTGGACCATCGTCTCGTTCGCGGTCGTCTCGCCCATGGTGCGCCGTGACGCTATAGCGAATATTCCAGTTTAGGGTTTAGGGTTTCTAGATTATGCAAATCCGACAAGCGTTCACCCGCCGCGAGCTCGCGCTGGACCTCCTCGCCGAAGGTATAATATCGCACGCGAAACGATTACAAACATGCCGTCAATTTGATGCCTAGTCAAAGCGCTGAGCTGCAACGTGCTCTTGGCCCACGCCATGTGGGACTGGGGCAAGAACGAGCGGATGAAGCTGCCGTTGCACCATGCTCTCGTCACCAAGCAGCTCTTGCGGACGGTGCTCGCCGACCTTCAGCGCATCTTGACGCTGCCGACTTTTACGCGCGGTCGCCATCAATTTACCAGCGTTGGGAAGGACCAAGCGTCATCGTTCTTGGATCACTTTCACAGCCTCGCGCGCCGGGTGACGTACTCGATCCAACTCCTCCAAGGTCAAGTCGAGGTCATGAAGGCTGTGGGACTGCCCGCGAACGAGGCCTCGCGTATCAACCAATACCACTGGCTGCTCCAAGCCCGTCTCGAGAAGCTCTGCAACCTCAAGGTACCGTTTCGACGAGACACGACAGGCTGTACAATGCTATACTAGTTGTACCGGACGCCGCAAGCGACGCGGTCGTTCACGCGGCTCGTCATCTTGCTGCTTCCCCTCTTTTACGGACCCTACTACGTGTACGTGGCGACAGCGGGGCCTACCAGCTACGGCTTTGCACTCACGCTGAGCGTCGTGACGAGCCTCCTCATGATTGGCATCTTCAACGTGGAGCGAGCGCTCGAAGATCCCTTCACAGACGAAGGCCTCGATGGCGTCAAGGCCCAGCGCGTCTTTGCCCGCATTCGTGACTCGCTCGATGTTCTCTTGCCCTCAAATGGGACCAAACACAATCGCCACTAATGAATGCCACGTCACGACAAAAATACTGTAGCACTACAGTAGTACAGCTGTAGCTCAACAATGTTGAACGAGGTCCACGTATTTGCTGCGAGCTCGTTTTGCATCCGAGGTACTTGATGAAAACTGCAATGAAAAATTGCGCTCGGATGCAGTCGCCATGCGTGTCATTGCGTCATCGGACGTGGTCATGTTGATGCAGACTGGTGTTGATGTATGGTACTTCATTGCGAGGGGTGAAGCATGCGACAATCGCCGACTCTGGTCTGGGATTGTTGTTTGCTAGACGAGCCAGCGGGAGAGAGCCAGGTGTTTGCATCGTACAGTCTCACGAGTCGTGCATCGACGGTAGCCATACGCTCGTGTAGCTGACGTCCTCTCCGGGCTACGAATACCGTTCGTCATGTGGAGTTGACGTCCGCGTCGATCGCTCCTTGAGTACCTTTGGGATGTTTTAATGCGAGCATCGGCATCGAGCCAACGGATAATTTTTGCGCCGGCGTGTGTCACCGATACAGCGTTTTCATTGGGCAGGTTCGATCGAACAGACCGCTGATTGGCTGGTTTCCAGCAATTTTTTCGCGCTCATTCCAACGCTGGAAGATCGCGCCATCCATGTCAGTTTGCATTTAACGTTACCTCCGTTCAACACACACCGCGATGTTTGGTACCAAGATCCTTCAGGCCCTCGAAGTGCAGGAAGCGCGCCGTCTCGAGCAAAGGCCCCGCAAGTACGTGCGCGCCCCGACACCATCTCCGTTTCCGTCGACTGGTCTCCGCACCCCACTGGCGCCACCGACAACAACCAAAGCGCCGTTGCCGTTGGCGCCCTTGACGCACCGCCGACTTGCGCCGCGAAGCGGCCACCACCAAAGCACTAGCAACAAATTCCGCTCCGTTGTGGAGTCGTACGACGAAGACAACATGTCGTAGCGTTCAAGTCGATGGTAGTCGTTCTCGCTCGATAGATACACTGTAGATATGACGTTTATTAGCGTTCGTCCACGCAGCTCCTTGTCGCTCAATCAATCATTATTACGTTTCCTGCAGTGCCGAGATCCAACGTTGTCCAGAGATAATCAGGCAAACCACGTTCGCTGCCAATACAAGAACCGACCGCAGACGAATAGTAAGTCGAATAGTATGCTGCATCAACAATGGAGTCGTCGCGGATTTGATCGCGCATCAGTTCCTGGACCTTCTCGCGCCATTATTCAGATGGCATCTCACGCATTTCCAATGTTTTGTTATTGTAAAACCAACAGGCAGACGCATGCTCACGACCCATATCCGCCGCCTTGTGTGTGCCAGTTCTGTTTAGCTATTTCAAAATATTCAACTCGCAAGAGACCGCTCGAAGCATGTTACTACGTGTCCGTCAATCGTCGCGACCGGGCGCCAAGCCTTCGACCACGCTTGCACATCGCATTCAAGAAGCCGCGCTCATTATTCTATCCCTCAAATTCACGCTGCCGATTCACGGGACTCTCGAAGTCGCTTGGCTGTTGAAAGGACACGTGGCAGTCCATGGATGCTCGTAGGAATGGGACGCTCTCTATCGCACGTGCCCATCTATCGCCGACTGTTTTTCGGCTTGTCGCGCGAAAAATTTTGGCGCGATGCAATTTCAAAAAAATGGGGTTGGAATAGACGGTACCACCGTGCGATCGGACGGTGCAAATCGCTTTTCACTTTTCCTTTTGCTACAAAATGCTCACGCGCTCTTCGTTCGGCCGGATTCTTGCCTCGCGCCAAGCCACGGCGCCGGCGCACCCGATCAACTGGTCGCGCGTCACAAAGGCTCGGCCAAACGCCGTCTTTGGCGCGCTCTCGAGCGCCAATGTGCCGAGTTTGCACCTCTTTAGCGTCCTCTCCAAGGTGCACTGGACGCACCGCCCAACAAAGCCGACGCGCCCGGCGCAATTCCGGTACCTCACGATCGTGGGCGGGCACTGCGTGCCGTTCCGACATTATGAAACCGAGTGGAGCAAGAACCAGCGCCGCGCCCTCGGCAAGAAGCTCTACGTCATTGAAGAAGAGACCGCCCAAGACGACGACTAGAGATCTTCGCGCTTTTATATTTATTTACAACGACTCGATTGAAATGTAATATATTCATTCTCATCACGGTCGAGTTGTGCAAAAAGTCTCGGGTGGGAGAAACCCAACGACACGGAGGTCTCGTACACCGTCTTGGCGCTGGACGTGCAGTCGAATGCGCGTCTCGGGCAGCTTCGCGGCAGTATGCAGAGTGAGCACGGGGTACGCGGATCGTGTTGTTCTGCGCCGCATCAAACACCTTTCTAATGCTCAAAATAGAGAAAAATGCGTGATGCAGGATGCATCGGTCTGGTTGTCGTTGGCACGAAAAGGCCAAAACGTCGTACAAAATCAAGTGTTTTAAACATAAGACAATATATCCCTCTTCGACCGAGGGATATAGGCGATAAATAACACAGGATCGTCGCTGCTCTGGGTTAGGCGTCATCGGAAGCGTCATCGTCGTCGTCCGTCTCGCTGCCTTGCGGGTCTTCGGGGATCACAAAGAGAGCTTTGCGAAAGGCCCGTCGCTGGACTTTGCTCAACCGCGTTTCCACCGGGTGCAACGGCACCCAGTGGCCGCCCACAAGGGTCACGTACTGCGGCTGGCACGTCTGCGCCGGCGTTGGGCGGCGCGTCCACTGCATCTTGGAGAGCACGCTGTAGCGATGCAAGCTTGTGACGTTGCTCGATACGGCATCATACACGGCGCTCGACCGTCGCTTGGCCGCGCGGGACCAATTGAAGCGGGGTGGCGACGTCAGTATCTTGGTCGGTCGGCGCAGTATGAAACGAGCGACGATTTTAAACATGTTTGCAAAATACAAAGTGGCAGGCGAGAACGCGAAGGAGAAGTAGGATCGATGATACCTCGGGTCATTACGCACACTCGCGACGGCATTTCAGCCGCCCAGCACCACCCACGAAAGGAGAGCACTGGGATCAATATGATCGGTTGCTTCTGGTTCCACTCAGATTCGAGCCATTTGATTTTCGAACAATGTTGACAAATTCGGTATACGCACATGCAACTAGGGCAGCAGCTTCAGCTCAGCCCAGTACTGCATCAATCTGGACAGCCCAGTATTGTACTAGTACTTGCTGGTTGATTTTGCACCGCTCGTAGCAGCTACCGTGCAAAATACGCGCACTCACCACCATATTGACAAGACATTGACGCGATCACAAACATTTCGAGTATTCGTCTGTGAGCAACACGTAGTCATCCCAGAGGTAGACGCACGTTGTCCTTGGTATACGAGGTCTTCTTGGCCGATATGTCAGCCCAAGGGCGATTTAGCGTACTGCTTGCATGAAACGATTGACGCAAGGAGCTGACGCAAGATAGCGCAATGCTCGACCGTTACAACTCATCTTCACGGTTTGAACTCGTCATTACGATCAGAACTTTGGTCGCGTCCACTCTAGTCATTCCTAACCCAGTCTGTAGCGCGACGTCGTGTGGCTTTCGTTGCCATTTCCAGATCGGGGCAAGAGGTTACTGCTTCTGTCTTCACGCATCATC